GAAGGCTGTGGGTCCAGGTGAACTCAGATAAACCCAGATGAGCCCGAGGGAACCCAGGCTTGGCCCAGGTGCCAGGAAACCTCTGAGAGAGACAGCATCCATGGATTCAGATTGTGTCTCCATAGTCTAAATGGAACTCAGGATGGTGACACCAAATAAGAAAAAAAAAAATCTTTAAAAAAAAAAATGCACCTTTTCCATACACCGTCTGGCTACATCACCCTGAAAAGGATGGTCCGTGTTTGTTTTTAAAACAAGACATCTGGATCATGACACCAATCTTCTATTTCTAGCTGCTTGTGGATAAAATTTCAAACAGCTTTTACAAAGAAAGGCACTTGGCTATCATCCTCTTAGTATTTAGGATCTAAAGCAGGTCATAAAAAAAAAACACACACACACACTTTTTTTTTCCTGTATCAAATGTGCCTTTTAACATCTGCGTTTCCCAAAAGGCCAACGTCAAGGTGGGTTTTGTGGGCTGTTGTGCAACAAGGGACCTCGAGAGTGTTCCTAGCGGCTAGTGTGGGGAGGTGGGGGAGGACACACGCTTCTACGCCTGTGTCCGTGCATGGCCGAGCATCCTGAGATGTAAGAAAACGGGACACACAGGGAAAACCAAGGCCGCCATCCTTCCCATCCCAACGGTCGCAGCATTTATCCCTGGCCACACAAGCCCAGGGCCTCTTGGAGAAGTTTCTTCCCTTTGCCATTTTAAAAAAGCTTGGAAGCTACCTAGAAATGCAGACTCTCCGGCCGCACCCCAGACGTGCTCAAGCAGAACACACACCTTATCAAGTTCCGAGCGGGATTCCTATGCTATGAAAGGGGAAAGCACTGGTCTAAAACTGGAACAGCTCCGACAAGACCGAGAGCTTAGAAAGTGGTTCTCCTGCCCTACGAGGGTTGGCAAGGCCCACGCAAAGTCACAGGACGGTTTTCTCCAGGACGTAGACCAGTAGCACCCTCGGGACAGGGAGCGTCAGCCCGGGCACCTCGCAATCAGCTTCTGCAATGGGGAGCGACTTCCTCTGGAGGTTAACTGATAACCCTTCATTAGTTTGTGGGAAGATTATCTCAGGCTGCCGACACCGCCCCGCGCATGTGCACCCTCTACTCCAGCCGCACGCGAGGTGCTCTCTCCCTTTTAAACCTGTTGCCCGGATTCCAACAGTCAGGCGGCTTCGAGATGCTGCTGAAGCTGCACAGGTGGAAACAGCGCTTCATGGAAGTGCACACGCCGGCCCTGACTCCGCCAGGGGAATCCAGCGAAAGGATTCGGGTTTGGGCTGCTAGGACTGTGGAAATTCTCCAGTGTGCACACACTCTTCAAAGTGTGATTGGGGGGACCGGCTGACCTGGGCATTGGTTGGAAATGCACCACCTCAGGCCTCCTGAACCTTAACCAGATCCCCAGTCAAGTTAAAAAGAACCAGCTGACCCCCCAGAGCCCGTGGGAGGGGGCACGGAGCAGCTGGCACTCCAGCCACCTCCATTCCCAGGGCTCCAGGGTCCCCCACACGCCCACCGTGAAGCACTAAATGAAGGGGACCTTGGAGAACCACAGTCAAAGGAAGAAGGTCAACGCCCTCCTACTTGCCGCGGAGGCGGGCAGAGGGAGATCCGGGCCCCCTTCCTCCCTCCTCTGCCACCTGCCAAAGGCGCCCTGCTTCTCCACCAGCCCCCTCCTCTCCCAAGGGCACCCCCTTCCAAACTCCACGTTGCCCTTGCAAGTCCCACACTCCTGTCCTGATGACCCCAGACCCCCAGGCCTCCAGCCCGACCGAAGGCGCTGAAGGACAGAAAAGCCGACTCACTAGAGTGCCCTCTCAAGCCCCCACGCCACTTCCATCAGCCCCCGCTGCCGCTGGCTCGCCGGCTCCACTCCCGAAGTCACTTCCTGCTTCCCTCCCGGCACACGTGGCCCTCCAGCCTCCAGGCCCCGCCCCGCCGCGCCGTGATTGGCAGATCCTGCCTGGAGAATAAATTCTCTGGTTCACAGCCTTCTGCAGGCTCGGGAACGAACAGATGGGGCGGGTAGAACAGAGTCCTGAGGCCAAGCGGAAAGAACATTCTGCATGTATCAGTCTTAAATGAAGCCACAGAAACCCGAGGAAAGAGCAGCTTTGTAATGTCCCTGATATCTTTGGGCCGCTGAGCCCACGCCCTGAGGGAGCAGTTCAGGATGCGTTTGAGAGGGATTGCGGGGAGGGGGAGCGGTGCTGGGATCTCCCACCATCAGCGTCATTATCTAGGTCAATGGTCCTCAAACCACACCTCCCATCAGAGTCACCTGGAGCGATGTCAATATACGAAATGCAAGCACCCCCAGAGGTTCCGGTTCTGGAAGTCCGGGTGTGGCCTGAGAATTTCTGTTCTGAACACAAGTTGCCGATGCTCCCCGCTTCCCTCCCCAAGGGTGACATCGGCAGAAAAACTGCCCATGACCACAGGGGCCACAGACCAGAGGACCCTACAGGAGCAGGCCTGTTGTGCAGCTGAAGTCAGTCATTAGCACTGATGATGGCACCCCATCCATGCACCAGGAAGATGGCATGGTGACTGTCGGGCGGTCTCTGCCCTCGGGAGATTCCCAGACTAGGGAGAAAGCCGGACTAGCTGTCTTGGTCAGCTCCGGCTGCCATAAGAAATGTTTCTGTTGCGTATAAGCTCCGCAGTCTGTAGTGTTTTGTTACAGCAGCATGAACTGGCTGAGACACCCCATTTTACGGATAAGGAAACTGAGACTCGGGAAAGGTCTGCAGTGAGCCCGGGTTGACAGGGCAGTGTGGGAAACCAAGCCAGCTGACTCCAGAGGTGGTGTCCTTCCTGCATCAGACGCTCGGGGCTCACGGGCTGGGACTGGACACTCCAACCAGCAGAACCTCTCAGTTCCCTTAAACCACACCGGTGCCCTAAAGCGGAGTGGCCAGTGCCCAAGAGACAGATTCCACCATTTCCTACTTTCCCAATGAACCTGTACGTACACACACACACACACACACACATATGCAAACTGCCTTTTTATCACTCTCTTATGGTAAGAAGTACCAGACTGCCCACCAGAAGAAAATGTAGTTTCCTTAACGCTAAGCGCAGTGGCTCTTCCCTCTAGCCCGTCCCTGTTCTCCCGCCACAGCAAACGTGCCTTGCAGCCTCCATAAACTGGGGGAGAGGAGGAGCGACGGAATGTGCAAGACCGAACCAGAGCGATGGCTCATTACCGGGTGGCAGGGTGCTTTGCAGGTGGCGAGGGCTGCCTCCCAGGTGTGGAAAGGCCATAAAACTAATCGACCTTGATGATCGGGGAAGGAATCTCAGGGCAGCAAAGTGGCGGCCCTGTCCAGAGGAATCACCATGGCTCGATCTGGCTAAGCAAAGCTGCCGGCATTCTGCCCCGAGCAGCGGGGCGGGGTGAGCAAAGGTGCACGTAGAAAGCATGGGGGCAGCCGGAGAGGAGGGGGCGTTGGGCAGAAACAAGCGGTCCAGCCCGGGGAGTCCTGGGTCTCCTCATGTGCGCTTCTCCCTTTCCCTTTCTCCCTCTCTGAGGTCGCATTTCCCTTAGAAAGTAAGATGGCAGTTGAGAACAGGCTTTGGAATCTGACAGCCTAGAAGGAATCCCAGAGAGTTTCCTGGGACAAACTGCCCAACCTTCCCAGCCTCAGTTTCTCCATCCTGAGTCTGGTAATAGTAGCCCAGTGCTCTCTCAGAGTCACTGTGCCTGGAATGAGGCACCCAACACCTAGCCCAGCACCCATCATGACAGTCTGAATGAACAGTTTCTCTCGCCCCTCTCTCCTGCTCTCATTTACTTATTCATTCATTTACTCGAAAGACACTCCGTGAGGCTCTGCTCTGCGTCGGGCACTCTGCTGCACCCTGGTATACTGAGGTCAACTAAACACGGTGGCTTTGCCTCACGCGCCCTTTCTTGGCTTCGTTTCTCTCCCTTTCCCGAAGTCTGATCACAGAGACCTCGGGAGGCCTGAGATAAGCCTGGGACCTCCAGTTCCACCCCTCAACAAAGTATGGATGATAACCACCACCCCCGCTCACCTCAACCGGTATTTAAAGACACTCATGGGATCACAGAAGTAAAAGTAATGTGCAGTTTACGGAAGTGCTATCTCCCTCCCACCCATATATCCAGAATTCAGCTACTTCTCTTCATTTCCATTGCTGCCTCCGTTCCCCAATCTAACGGCTTTGTCCCCTCATCCTGTCTGACCTCCTAATTGATCTCCCTGATTCCCCATTGTGCATCCCCTCAGCAGACCATTCTCCCAACAGCAGCCAAAGTGATTTTCTTAAAGATATAAGTCCAATCACATCAACCTACTACTGCAAACCCTCTGAGGACTCCTCATTGGAATAAAACTCAAGCTCCCTGCCTTAACCTATGAAGCCCTACGAGACCTGGCTCTGCTCAGTCCGACCACTATACCCCTTCCTCACTCCGCTTCAGCCAAGCTGGTTGGCCTCGAACGCCAAGCTCACTTCTGCCTCGGGGCCTTTCCACTCGCTGTTCCCTCTGGAACACTTGCTTAGAACCTGGTGCATCTGTCTCTCGGATTTTTCACCTGCCTGGCTCCTTCTTGTCATTTGGGTTTCAGCTCAAATGTCACCTCTGCAGAGGCCTTCCTTGAACACCCACTCTGATGTAGACCTTCCGAGCTTCTTTGTTTTCTTCATGGCGCTTCTGGATATCTGGCATTCCTATTTATTCAGTCCCCCCAAATGCAAGCTCCAGTACAGCAGTGCCGTGTCCCCAGCGCGTGACACGTAGTAGACATTCACTACTTATTGAATGGATAAGTAACTCAGATACAAAAGTGTTACTTGTTGGCTATACTTTACATATTAAAGACCTTCCTGAGAGTAATGAGAAAACAGTACGTGTCTATTGGATCAGATTGTCCCAACTACTTCCATTGTAACTCGATAGTCATCCAGGGCTCTCAGCCAAGGGTGATTTTGCCCCACAGGGTACAAACGGCAAGCAGAAGGGTGCTAGTGGGTAGACACCAGATATGCTTTAAAAAACAAACAAAAACAAACAAACAACAACAACAATGCCCAAGGCAACCCCACGACAAAGAATTATCCGGCCCAAAATGTCAATAGGAATCCTAGTGTAAACCCATAAAGTAATCGTTATAGTGTGTTTAATAATGATAAAATCACTCTATAAAACTTAACATGCCCTTTAAGAAGCAACTGGTATCAGTCGAGGCACTGGGTAGCACACGATTTACCCAAAAATGCAAGAAAGAAGGGTACCACCTGCCTATTCCAGCACAATCGGTGCATAAATATACGTACAATCAAACATGCTATGTGCTCAATTTCCTCTACCCCTTTGGTTCTTGATTATCTAAGGTCCTGAGGACATCATCAGGACACTATGACATCACAGGGCTTCCTAAATGAAAATGCCTGGGCTTTGGCAGTGAATCCGCGACAGGTGGGTCAGATCGGGCTGCCCTCGAGGTTTGCTCTCCAATGTGACTGATAAACTGATGGAGAAGAGAGTCTAACCAGCCTTTCGTTTCCTAAGCACCATCCAAAGGAGCCAAGAGTGACCTGGTGCCACTTTTCAGAGCCTGGTATAGGGAAGAGCTGCCCTCGAGGGCTCAAGGGAGAAACTGAGTCAGCAGTCAGGTCCTTTCTCACCTTGGTCTAAATGACTGATTCTGAACCTGCACCACCTATGTTCAAGCGGGGGCATAAAAGTACAGGCTCTACTGACTTTATACAAATCCATTGTTGGAAGAGGAGTTTCTAGCACTGAGATGGATATTAAAAAGCAAACTCAAGCTTGCTCAACTGCTGACTTAATAACCTATGGAATTACTAGATAAAAACCACCAGATTAAATTGAAATTAAACCTGTCTCTGAGATAATAATCAACATAAATCAGTTTTTCTGAATTTTCCATGTTTGTTTCCAACGTGTCTCCTGGCATCTCATAAGTAATTCTGTGGAGGCCATCTTGCTAGGTTCGCTGAGGGGAACCACTGAACAAATAAATTCTATTTATCAAGCCTGTTCCTTTATAGCTGTATAGATCAATGAATGACCTGTTGGTTCACTCATCCATTCAGCAAATGTTTATTGCACACCTACTGTGGGACAGGCACGTGTGAGGCCCTGGATACGCACCAGCAAGTGAGACAGACAACCCGTGCCCTCACGATGCTGTCAGTCCCGATGCTCTGTGCACGGCGCTGCACGTTATAAATTAAGGCTTATTGTGAAAGCTGTCGTCTCATTTTTCAGCTGCTTCTTTCCTCTTATTTCTCAGGCAACATCATGCCTTTCCCTGCTGGAAGTCTCTCCAGACAGTGAGATAATCAACAGGAGATAACCCTCTTCTGTCGGTGGACAGAGAAGCAACTGCGAGGGGGTTGCTGGGAGTAGAACGTGTTCTGCATGGGTGGGCGCCGGGCTACGTATCGGCACTGCTGATAATTGCCAAAAGAGGCCTCAGAAGAAAAGGACCTCACTCTACGTCTTGTGATTCCTTTTCTTTCTAAAGTACTATTCATATTCATACCTAAATTTCTAATTTTTTTTTCTTAAAGAGGACCCTTAAAATTGTATAACCTTCAGAACCCCCGAAAACCTGATGCCACTCAGGATGGATGTTTAGAGGTTTAAACTGGAAAACAAACAGCTTTCTCTGGTGGGCAGACGTCCTAATCCCTGAAACCTATGAACAGGTGCCTTCCAGGGCAGGAAGGTCTTTGCTGATGTGCTTACGTTGAAGATCTTGCATAGGGAGATCATCCTGAATGATCTGGGCGGGTCCGCTGTAATCACAAAGGTCCCTTGTAAGGGAAAAGAGGGGGCAGCAAAGTCACAGCATCGCAGCCGTGAGCCGGGGAACGCGGGCAGCATCCAGAAGT